TCATGATGATCATGATGATCATGATGATCATGATGATCATGATGATCATGATGATCATGATGATCATGATGATCATGATGATCATGATGATCATGATGATCATGATGATCATGATGATCATGATGACTATGACGATGATGATGATGATGATGATGATGATCATGATGATGATGATGATGATGATGATGATGATGATGATGACGATGACGATGTTCGAACTTTCGGCAGCTGGGTTTCAATTGAGCCATGTTCTAAATGTCTTACATCCTGGCACCAAACAAGGAAATGCTTACGCCATTGCTTACATTTTTTCTTACGCGCACACCAGTTTTGCTTACGTGCATATCTTGTCTTACGCGGAGCTTGCGCTGGCTTACGCTCACCAGAGTTTGGCTTACGCCACACCCTTACAAGGGGCCCCTTCCTGAACATGAACACAAGGGTTTAGAACGTGGCTGCAACTGTGCAAGGGCAAGCGGGCTATAGCGGGCTTGGGCTTAAGGATTCCACACTTTTTTTTCATCAACAGAATGGGAATGCTCAAGTCGAACTACTAAGTCGACGACTCCAAGAGGGACCACCTCGGACGGATCTATCAGGATCGAAATCTCGAAAGGGGAATCAACAAAATACAACATACGTCTGATAGAAACATTGGAAAACAGCTAATGTCTACATAATAATTGATAATAACTCACAACAGGCAAGGGAAACAAACAACGCAACTATCATCCAAGCTGCCCCGGATGGCCACAATGGCTCAGATTCCCTCGACATCTTGCAAGTTGCTTCGCTGCGACTTTGGCAGAACAAAGCGGGCTCTTGAAATTCTCAGATGTGGGCTCTGGAAAACTCTTGGGCATATCTGAATCTACCGAATTGCCTGTGAAATTGATAAATGATGGTAAATGTGTTTCCACTTATTACGGCACAATCAGCACATGATAGTATATGATGCTGTGTGTCTGGACTGTCATGATGCCATAGCAGTGTTTTGCGAGACGTCCTAGCTGTCCTAGCTTTGCATCATGCTGTGGCGATGAAAGTGGGACGTAATTCTCGCTGTCTCAACATCCAGGTGTTTGGCGCAAGCCTTGGGCACTGGAAGATCTGGAAGCAAGGCTTGCTTCGTTTTCAGTCTTTACTATCTTTACTGCTGCACTGGAAACTCATGAATCTCATCAACAACAAGCCCTCCTGGAGTCTACCTGAGTCTACCTTCTACCGTGTCCCCCCTCCGCATATCTCCGCATGCTCCATCTTTGATGAATTCATCGCATCGACGTCCTAAGATACAGAGACCCTACTACGAGACATCCTGTGAGGTCCAGCGGATCACCTCCTCAGGAGGTCAGGCCGGACCCAGCCTGGACAGGGTCTGCTGAAGCCACGCAAAGATATCAATTATGCAGTATGATGCAGTAATGATGCAGTAATAGTAATGATGCAGTAATGCTTATGCAAGAGAAGAGCTCTGGCAATGTATGTTCTTGTATTTTGCTTGCGAAGCTCAGGTGGTTTTTCACTGTTTTTCAGATGACCAAATCAAACCAAATCCATTTACCTGCCAACGAAATCCAACAAACCCACAATGGAGGTTCCGGCTCGAAGGGAAGCACATCACCTTGATCTTCAAGGGTGGCCATGCCTCAATTTGTTCAATGTCTGTGGGATCTGACTCAGAACTGCTCAGAACGAGTGGTTAATCTGGTTGATTCTGTTGAATATGTTGAAAAAATTGGAGGGCATTGGTGGCACAGAGTTGCTAAAGCTTCAGGCTGACTCCGGCTTTCCTCCACCGCTCACAAGCCTGGGTCGGGGCAACATGCGGGTTTCAAGTGGCCACAGGCAAAGGATGCGAAGGATGCTGAAGGCTCCCACTTCCTGCCCTCTCTCCAGCAAGCTGTGCATCCTGCAAATGCGAGATGGTGCGAGCAGGCTGTGGGCTATCACACTATCTGCTCGTGAGAGATCATACTATGGAAATGACAATGTCATCACTAACCTGCCGTCTCTCTGTCTCTCTCCACAACTACCGTGATCTATTATGATCAATTTATGATCAATATCAGAAAAATATAGAAAAATCAGTAGTCACTTCCAGGATATTACAACTGATTGTCACATATTGTCATTTCCATCTGCCATGTACGGCTCCACAGCGTGCGCCTGGAACAAAGCCTTTCCAGGTCTCGGCAGCGCTGCCTCAAATCCAAGGCTTCTGCGTCGAGTTCTCGGGCATCCTTCGGCGATCATCCCACTGAGGAAGTCAACCAATGGACTGCCAATGGAGCAAGAAATCCTTGCGAATCGGAGACCCACCTAGATCATCAAATCGGAATGGAATGGAATGGATAATTTTGATAATGGACCCACATAGATATCATAGATCCACAATACACGTCAATACACCACAATACCACATGCAGTTCTCCAAGTTCTCCAAGGTTCTGAGATCTTCCAAGCGCCTGGATGGACATCTTGTAGGGCGAGTCCAAGAACGATGCCGACAGCGATCGGTTCAAATGCCGTGCTGGTGTCGCCTGAGATCCCGTGGCCATCCATCCATGGCCATGGCCATGGCACGGCGCAGAGTTCCATCACTTGGCCACTGACAGTACCAGGGGTGGTTGATCTGACTTGAACTGAAAGTTCAAGCACCTTAATGCTGAAATATGCATGTTCAAAGACGAAAGTAGACGCCAACACCGGTCGAATCAAATGGACTAGAGATTGCTAGAGTCTACAGCATCCCACCTCGTGTCGAGCATCAGAACCTCACTGAAATATACTGAAATCATCAGATGGTTCTTATCAGAAAATAATCACGGCTTGGGAAAAAAAAAGGCTCCATGGACGCACGGCACAAGCTGTACCGCAACTGGGCTTGGGATCCCAAACATTGTTGCTGGGCGCGGGCGCCCTGCCGTGGTTGAACCAACATAACCATACATAACCAACATTACATACTATGACACACCTATGATTTTGGCACCTATGGTTAAAGAACACATCCCAAACACACAATGGATTGGTTTGGTTTAAGGCAATTTTGCAAGAAACTATGGTGAATTTAGCCCCCAAAGCCAAGGCTTTCAACCGTAAAGCACAAACTGATGGCTGCCTCCCGCTGACGAACCAACAACTGCTCTCTGGCATCGTCCCGCTCCATCAACATCCTGATCAGTTGGTGGCCTTTCTATGGGTTAAGGTCTAGTTACTAAGTAACTCAAATTGAGATCTAAAATGGATGCATATACAGTACGCGTGATAAATTCAATGTGCATATGATTTGACTATATATACAGTATATTAAAATATATGAAATATATACATGTAAAACATGTTAATATTATGTATGCAAGATTATGCAAGTATTTAATCGTATTTTTCTGTATAACAGTTGCATAAAAGTATAACATTGTATAACATTGTATAACTACGTATGTCTATGTGTGTGTGATTGTCTGTGTGTGCGATATCTTTGATTTATAATTTATATCGCCTCATTGAGTCTAGAACTGTGTAGAATTAATCTGAACCAACAGGTGTATGTGTGATTGTGTGTGGGAATGTGTTAGGCGACTCAAAACTCAAAACGTTCAAAACCCATTCAAGGAGACTATGAGGTGAGCTAGGTGTATTTCCATGAAGTGGAAGGGGATGACCAAGAACCCCACAAGCTCAGCAACAGATCATGGGAGCATAAGGTTGGGATAGGCTGGATGATGTTCAAACCCATGTGGCATGCTGAAGAACAGGGTCCCACTATGGCATCACGGCATGCCTGCGCTTATGGTGACCAAATTCATGCAAATCCTTTACTCACCTGCCTTTTTTTTGGGCATAATATATCATATATATATATAATAATAATATTATATAAAATTATACAATGATTTGTTTTTTTAAGTTTAATCACAATGTTCCTTGGGCCCGTAGTGTTATCCTAGTGTTGGGTCGCCATGCCCACGGCATCCAAAGAGAGTGCGGCCTTTGACATCTCCGGGTCGTCTCTTCAATTTGGTGCCTCAAACCTCGGGCAGAAAAACGGAACATGCGGCGCTGGTTCCATGGATGTTCCACACATGCTTGGGGATCCAGGAGGAAATTTCTGGGGAGGTCTTGGAGCCCAGTTTTATAGGTATAATTTGGTTGGGCCCAACTTGGTTTCTTAGGTTTTATACGGAATTCAAGCTCTATCATTTTATAAGGAAAAGTCCAACAGGGATACTTAGGGAATAAAAACCACCAGGAGGATGAGGATGAGGATCAGGATCAGGATGATGAACATGGCTCCCATATCATGTGGTGACTGTGCGACTTACCGCAAGTACCGACACCCGGTTCAGTGCACTTCTGCTCCAGGCAGCTGTTAGTATACCATTAGACCCTAGGCATCCCTAGGCCTCTGGGCACACGACTACGAACCTCCTCTGAATGGTAGGACTTCAAGTCCGAAACCTCAGCTAAACATTCAGCACTCGCAGGCACTCCCTGTAAAAATATGTGAAAATCATGAGCCAAGGCAGAAAATCATTGTGAAACGGCGCTTGGTTTTGGTTTCTGCGTCACTGCAGGCTCTTCAACTTCCAACTGCGGAAATGTTCGAGTTCTGATCATCTATTATGTACATCTGTCGTCGTCTGTCCACCGAAGTCCCTTTATGAAGCTCCAGGACCACCACTGTCATCCGATGATGCCATTGCGCCAAGGCATAACATCAAACAACCAGCATCGACCAGCATCAGACTGAACTGAACAGTTCAGGTATGACTCACAGGATGTTCAACAGGAGGACTGAGACGTGTTCGATGGCCAACCTCATGACCTGACAACCCACCATACAGAATCTGCAGATAAATGAATGATGGGTTTTCCATCCTCTGCTTGCAATGGAAAACGCTCCGCATCACTGCTTGTTGCACTGCATTCAACCACAACAGCCAAGGATACCGCTGGGTGGAACAGCGAGAAGTCGTGTCCTGCCATGACTCCGCCATTGGGCCGCACTCTTCGCCTCCACACCTGGATATCTCGTCTGGCTGCTTCAAAGGTGTGGTCAGCGTCAATGAAAACCAAATCGAAGTAGTCGGTTTCAACCAAACCTGCCGCCTCCTCCGAAGCCTTCCGAATGATGCGCACTGCACTCTGTCCATGTCGTTGGAAAGCCTCTTCCTCTCGGGACCACGCCTGCAGATTCTCATGATATGCCGCAAGGATAGCGTTGCTCTCTTCGGACTTGCCTGGAATGTGCCATGGGTCCACTGCGACGTATTCTGCAATCGCCTTCTCGTGCTTCATCAAGTAGGTAATGGTCATCCCCTTCTCCACTCCAACTTCAGCTACTCTAAGCCCTCTTGCCCGATCTGCACTTGAAAATGTTGAAAGGATATGCTGCAGAACATGCCAACGTTCACCTGCAATGGGGGCATGATAGAAGACAGGTGCCCCAGCAGACAACAGGAACTCATCCAGCGGTGGAATTGCCGGCAACCCTTGCATCACTGACAAGCTTTGAAAGGCGTGATCCAAGAAGCTACGCACCTCCTCAGCTGCGCGGTCAGCCAACATCTGTAAATCGCCCCAGTTGTTCCCCACTCTGTGGCAAAATGTCGATAGCAAACGCTCCATTCGAGCTGTGGCTCGAAAATGTACTTCAGAGATACCAAGGCCAGCTTCAAAGGGTTCCTCTCTGGGTAGCCCCACCCCTTGACAGAAAGAGCCTTCTCGGCCTAGTGGATCATGATCACCGTCGTCCATACAAGTACCAGCACCAGCCGGACCAGTAGGACCAGCAGGGCAAAGGAGTTGGAGGAAGAGCAGCTTTGAAGCTAAGTTGGCATAGTGCACTGCCAGCCCTTCACAGGTCTGCAGCAACAACTGTACTTCTTCCCCAGGGAGCTGTTGATCGAAGGCCGGCAAGGATAAATCGTAGGAACCATCAGATCTCACGTTGAAACTGTGAAGTTGCGAAGAAGCAATGGCCAAAGCCAGCAAGTCTTGAACACTTTTGCAGGCTGGGCTCAATCTACCAGCAACCCGGTCCAAGTTCCAGCTGGGTAGTGGGAAGGGATACTGTGACAGCAGCAAATCAAAAAAGTCCTCCTGAAGGCTTGGAAGTGGCTGTAGTGCTTCGGTCAGCTGCAGAATGGCCCAAGCGAGGGCCTTCAATGCCCTCATGTCGGGTACATATGTGCCATCCGGACACCCTGGACCGGGCTTTGTTGAGGCATGTTGAGGCCTATAGATCTTTGGGCCTAAAATTTTGTTCAACAACCAATTCGACAGAATCTCACAGCTTGCTTCAGCTTGTAATCGCTGAAGTGTAAAGATACAGCTCATCACTAAGATGTTTTTATCTTTGGGGAACATTGAGAGGTCAGTTTGGTGTCTTTGATGCTGTGTAACGTCATTTCCCCATTGGTTCTTCAATCGGGATCCTCCATAACCAAAGACCGGTGCCAAATTCCATGCTGAGGCTCCGTGCCTGAGTGGTCCACTCAACTTCAAGTTTGGCAAGTTCCTGTGATTTTTTTGATACTGTCATAAAATGTTGTCTGCTATAGGCTATATCTCACCATACAGTAGATTCAAAGTGTTGTGCATTGAGATTAAAAAATACACAGTATGTGTATTGATTATATATTAATTATACGTGTGTGATTCATTATATGATCATTACAAATGCCCACGCATTGCAAGAGGAATGACAGAGCTTTCTGACATCTTCTATGACAATGTTGGCATGGTCTTGTCCTCAAGCTGTGAAGTTCGCAGGTTGGACAGTTCTTCCACCTGTTGCGGCAGCAACTCAGAATGTCATAGAACGACACCAGCTACGACATCCAATAAACTACCAATTCTATCAGAAGTAGCTGGTGTTTACCCATCTTAAATACGGACGGATTATTGTTGGATTTACCACATCATCGGCACAGCAGCCACTGACCTGTGCTGCTTTGAGCTCTGAAACCTCACTGGCAACTTGCAGCTCAAGTAGCTGGAAGAACGATGCAGCTGGCTGCATAACTCTCAGATCCCCCGCCATTTGTGGAAGCGAGGCCTGAGCACTGGATAGCAAGTATAAATCACACTAGTAATGAGATTGATCAGAATTTATAATTCTAAATTATGTGTACACAGAGACCCATATTTATATGATTTTATATGATTTTATATGTGCATATCAATTACATCATATTCTATGTGCATTTAGGATCATTTAGATACATAGTGATCAAATATGATCAAATGATATCAAATGATATCAAATGATATCAGGTTCGCCCTTTTCTGGAATGCTCTCGGCCTTGCAGGTGGCTAGCCGTGCAGCATGTTCTTTGGCACTCTCCTGTTGGTGTCACTCAGTCGGGATCATTGATGACGGACAACAAGAATGTCTTTTGACATGTGTTGATCCTTTTGTGATATACAATGGTATACAATATATAGACCTTCTTAAAGCCTATTAATTCCTTTAGCCCATTTCACATCATTTCACTCCTTTGACCCTTTTGACCACCACTTGTCATGTTTGGTTAAAAGGGAGCTCCATTTGGTCGTGACGTCCTCGCTTTTTGCAAGCTGCTTCCGCAGAGTACTCAGCTGCGACAACATCGGCTCAGCCTTGGAGGACAATGGCCGACCATCCATTGATGATTTGAGTTCTTCGAAATGGTGATTGTCCATAGCGACTAGTTAAAATCTAGTTAAATATGTTCAATAACCAGAGGCTACTAGTATGTACTAGTAAGATTTTTGTAAGTACAACCTCGCCCACTGCAATAGCGCACCTGCACCTCCAGTCGTTTCAACTCAGCCTTGGTGCAACGTGGAAGTGAAAAGAGTTGGTGTCCAGTGGATGTCCAGTGGATGTCATCCGGGCATCGAAGTATCCTGGGATCTGGGGATCATGGCTTGTAGATTCTGCTGCGATGAACGCAGAAGTTCCACCTCCAATGACCAGTGCCCGGATTGCCACAAGGGTTGGGGCGGCTGTTCGGAGTTTCACCATGTTGTTGAAAACCTGTGCTGAAAAAACCCCGGAGTGATAATTATATATAATTATTGATACCCCCTGGTTGCGGAGTCATCCAACAAAAATGATCAAAAATGCCATGAACCATATTTTAAGAGCTGTGATCGATTGCTACATTTGTAGATCAATTCCTGCAACCCAGGGATCAACCATGATCAACCATGATCAACATCCAGGTGAGGCATCGAGGCCAACTTGGCCCCGGGCTCCTTCGCTTGCCTCTTCACAGTGGCTCCGCTTGTCATCCTCTCGGATCAACGACAAGGCTCACATGCACGTTGCTCGGGGAAGTGGTGAAGTTCCAACGCTTAAAAATATCAGATAATATGATATCAGATATGATCAAATAGATTCAAATAGTTGCTATATGCTACATATGTGCGCATTAGATTGTGAAAGCTCTAAATTTCAATATAATATCCGATAATATAATATAATTGAAATACCCCCAAGTTTGATCAGTTCTGTTCATAGGATCATATGGCATGCCTCTTCAAGAGGTGTCCCTTCAAACAATTTGGAGCTGGAAAATGCTAAAGGAATCCCAGGGGGACCCGACAAGAAGCTGAAGGAATCCAAACAAAAACTACAAAATGCTAGAAAAATCCAATCCTATTCTGCGTGATATTTGGTTCTTTTTGGAGATCTCACAACGGGCACTCCATACAATCAATTCAAAATCTACAGAAGAAACAGGGAATACCGAAGGAAAATTAGAATTCAGAGAACATGTTAAAGCTACAAAAACTTGAAAACCAAAGAAAATTCAGAAAAACTGAAAGAAACTAGAAAAAACTACAAAAAAACTGAAAAATACTAACAAAAGCTAAAAAAAACCTAAAAAACTAGAAAAAACGAAAAAAAAAACTAGAAAAATACTAGAAAAAACTAAAGAAAAACTAAAAAAGGCTAAACAAATCCCACTTTTGGGCCGCCGAAGGGGCACTCCCTCCAAGAGTTTTTCCTTAACATGTTTGAGTGTTATTGTCTAGTTTTTTGTTTTTTTTAGCTCCCAGCACCCTGGTTCAGTGAGTTGAAGAGGCAGGTCCAGGTATCGCATCTGCTCCGCCTGTCGAGACCTACGCGCCGTGCACCCCAGATCATTCAGGCACCCTTCGCAGGGGTATCATGGGGATAACATGGGATACCCTCTGGTAAACATACAAAAAACTATAGAAAATAACCATGTTCAATGGGAAAATCCACTCTAAATGGTCATTTTCAATAGCTATGTTAAATTACCAGAGGGTAACTGGATAGTATTGTCAATAGAAATATATATAGAAATGCAGAAGGAAATTCGATGAAATACGAAATGGGGCCATCAATCAGTATCTGTATAATCTATATATTGTTCTTAACAAATCATGCACCCAATAAATCAGCAAAGATAGTGCTACTGGATGCGCTAGACTTTTATTGCCATTGAACAGCTATACTTGTGTGAACATCTGGATCCATCTCTGATGTTATTGTTCAAAAACGATCTGAGACCAGGGCTTGCGCTCTCGAGTTGCTCTGGCCTGGCGAGATGCGTAGGTAAAATATGGTACCCTCTGGTAAACTAACATAGCTGTTGAAAATGGCCATCTATAGTGGATTTACCCATTAAGAATGGTGATTTTCCATAGTTACATTAGTTTACCAGAGGGTAAAATGCGTCAATCGCATCAGCTCGATCTGTCTCTGGATGTCCCTGGCATCCCCAGGGCCTCCAAATCCGCTTGCTCAGCTCGGTGGCGGAGCTCCGTGCACACATCATCCTGTCGATCTGTCGATGAAAATCCAATGTTTCAATACACGAGGCGACACATGGGGATGGGTCAAAAGCATGGTACCTAGTGAACCCCAAAATAGCTGGTAAATGGATGTTCATCCCACTAAAAATGGTATTAATAGGTATTGATCCATACCGACATGTTGGCAGATTGAATTCAAGAAACAGCTGCAAAGATTCCTTATAACTTATGATTCCTCACACTCCACATCCATCCACATCCCTCAGGCTTTTAAACGCAGATGGCCACACGGCACAAGAGTCATTAGTGTTGAATCAATCGGCAGATTTCGGAGGCTTTGCCTCTGTCATCGCAGGTAGTGTACAATATCCAGGGTGCTCAAGCCGGAGCTTAATGATCTTAACGGATCGCAGACCGATTACTCATCTTCTGCTTTCTCTTCATCCTCAGGCAATGTCAGAACATCTCAGGCAGCCCTGCATGGTTTTTTTGTGCTTAAAAAAGCCGCTCCTTTTGGTGCATGGAAAATAGTGGAAAAACTGAGCCCATAGCCGCCAAAACATCACTGAAAGCTTCAAACACGGCACCGATGGGTATTCCATAGAGCCTCAAAAACAAATTCGGCGTGTCAAAATCTGGAGTCTTGAAAAAAGTTGTTCCATAGAAATCCATACAAAATGAAACTCACATGAAACTCACATGAAACTCACATGAAACTCACATGAAACATCATGAAACCGTTTGCAAGTTGAAGGAGCCAACCACGATCATGGAAACACCGATTGGTTCGGATTCGGATTGCAGCTCTGCGGGGCATCATTCAATATCACTCCAAGGAACCCGATACCCACAACCTCAGCTCTCACGCAGGAAACTTCAGCATGGCTCAGTCTCAGCCATCAGACATCCGAGGTTTCCATAGGTTTCCGACACAATAAATCACGCACACAATCTTTCCACCTGACGCTGCGCCGCTGCGTCAAGCTTTCAGGCCTGTCTTGCACGGATCACGCCTGGTGTGAAGTCTATTTTTGCCCACTCGCCGCCGAGGAAAATGATGGTGAAGTACCTCGGTCCATGATGCCAATGCCGGGCAAACACGTGTGTTCTGATCAGAACCGGAAAACGTTCAGGAACGGCATGGAACGTCTGTTGCGCTAAGATTCCGACATGCTGGACGGCAGGTCCTGAAGGATCAGCCGGATCAGCCACATTTGCCGACTACCAGTGACTACCGGAGTTTCAACGCATGCGACCTTGAAGGCGCCCTCCATGGCAGGGTTGTCCTTCGCCAGAAATTGCCAGGTCATTAATTTTGTGGATATGTGGATCTGTTTTTCGAATCCCTCAGACGTAGTCCTGCTCAAATTCGTAGAAGAGAACAGCCCCACAGACCCAAACCAGCAAGGCCATGAACCTTCACCAGATTATCACCAGGCATTGAGGTTTCCTAGAATGGAGGATCCCCAAAACCATAGGTTTCAATACTAAACTAATCTAACTTTGGACAATTTGGGGTACCTCCATTTTAGGAAACCTCATGAAACCTCCATATTTCAACCTCCAACCGGGAAAACGTCCATTTTCCATCCGTTTCCGCCATCTCGGGCAGAGACCCCGTCGCAACCATGGTCTCCCGACAGCTACGCCATGCATCGTCCAGCAAGGTGAAGCTTTCCACGAAGTCTTCCAGTTGCAGGATTCGTAGCAGCCGCGCGATGCGGAAGATGAAGGCATTGAACTGCCGGAACAGTGCCGGAGTGTGCCGGAAATGTGGCAGTTGATGGCGGCTTGAAACACTTTAAAATACTTTAAACAAGGGAATCTCTCATATTTGTGCCACAAGTGCATGGTTTAAAGATTTATGCACAAAACACGACTTTCCGCCTGCATCCCACTAAGGTACATCGCACTCCTCGGCTTCAAAGAGAAATTTGGATAATTAGGTTTGGACTGCGCATTCGCAGGCCACATCCTACACACAAATATATTACACAAATTAATGCTCCAAGAGGATTTTCTCATCTATTTACCCCACGGCTTGAACGATATGTGGGAGATCTGCCATGCTCTATCCATATTTGCCTGGTGTGCAATGCTCAAACAAGCAGCTGAACCCAGAAGGGTGCCACAGTCACAAGGTCCACAATACCAAAGAAGGACAGGGTATAATTTCGACCTGCAATGTTCAAACCATCAAATCAGGACATCCACCAAAGCAGGACAGCAACTTTGAGAAAGTCAAGTCAAAGTGGAGCTGTTGAAACATGTTCAAATCATTTCCTGAGATCGCTGCGATGAAAACAGTACCTGACGACGGGTTCACAACGAGCACAACTGAGCACAACTTCATCTCTCCACTCATCTAACATGGCCCTGCCTGATGTTGGCATTTGCTGACCACACATTTGCTAGGTATTCGAAGGTAAAGAGTAGCACACTCATTAACTCGAAACCATTCAAGAAGTCGGAGCCAAGGGCCTCCCAGAATCATGACGATCCATGAGCCGCATTAAAAAAAGAGGATCGGCTTACAGTATGAGAGCCGATAGATCCCCAAAATATCTCCAATATATCCCCAATATATTGGACAATATAACAGAATAAAACCCCCTACAATCATTAACCAACAAGGGTTTTGCATCCACAGCTGTGAATAGATGTGGGTAGCATTATGTATTGTGCCTCCTTCACCCAGGACATGCTTTCGCCAATCACTGCCAGAACATTCAGAATGATCAGGAGCAGCATAACCTGCATCACTGTCGGCATCATTAGGAACCCCCAAAGGCCATTGAAATATTATAACTAATAATATAGTGTTATACTATATATTACTGTATTATACTATATTAATATTATACTATATTATACTATATTACTATTATATATATAATATATATATTAAATATACATTGATATTGATATTCCAAATCCATATGTGATGTCACTGAAACTACGACCGTATGTTGGGGGAGTGATGCCAACGTCGGACCCCAGTGTACAGTCGCACCTGTGGTGCAATGGATTGCAATGGTTGTTGCTCGGGTTGGGTTTCGTTCCAGTACGAGTCTGAGATATATCTTCTAAAGCACTCTATACTATATACTTACTTGGGCTGCGGCCGAGCCTTCTTCCACACACGTCCCGCTAGGGTCTTTTGTTCTAAAAAGTCGACCATTTTGATCTTGTTTGGGTTGTCCTTCGGTCAAACAGATGCAGCTTGATGAGGGAGAATGAGGATGAGGATGAGGATGAGGGGGAGGAGGAGCTGATAACTGATAACCATGAAATACAAAAAATAGAGTGCCATAAATATCCATAAAAATGAGTTATATTCGTCATTCTTTGCTGTATCTACTGGTAGTCTGGTAGTATGCGTTTGTACATGTCGATTTTCAAGACAGTCGAGGCCATGAACTCTGAACGACAAGCGTCCTTTTTCACGATGTCCTTTTGTCTTTTCAAGTTCATGCTCTGAGCCTTGAGCTCGAGGTAAGGGCAAACACTCTCGGCACAAGAATCCGAAGAAAGTGCATGCGCCATCACATGTTGTACGTGTTACATTTTTGCATTGTCACTGCTGCTACATGATCTACATGTAGCTTACATTGAGTTATTTGAAGCTCAAAACTGTCCACACAGCCTTTGTCTCTTCAGTAATCTTTCGAAGACGGCGCCGCCGCAAGTAGCTGATGATTGCCTTCAGTGTGCAACTGCTATGGATGGCAACTTGGTCAGCTTGGAGGTTTGCTGCAAAGCTGCTCGCTCAATGGTGGTGGCTGCATCCACTCGTTTCTGTCTTTCTTCTGCCCGGAACTTTTTCAGCTCCTGTGCGGAACACGAACGCCTCAGATCTATGTCTTATTGCGAGAATCCGATGAGAAATTAAATCAGATATTATATATATATACAGTATCAGATAAGGCCATCAAATCATGTCAAGTGCCATCAATCTCTTCTCCCTTTCGGCCATGCGCCACCTGCGTGAAGCCAGATGCTAAGAGACCGGTGGGAACTGACACCACCTTGGCCGCTCTGAAATCCAAACACCCATGGGTTTGTGCAAAAATTGGGGATACTCGCCAAATAGATAGGTAGGTAGGTAGGTAGATAGATAGATAGATAGATACATTGATTGATAGATAATTACATTGATTGATACATTGATTGATAGATAGATAGATAGATAGATAGACAGACAGACAGACAGATAGATAGGTAGATAGGTAGATAGGTAGATTCATAGATAGATATAAAAAAAATGAATATAAAATGGGAAATTCAATGACATTCCACCTAGCAACAGCAAACCGATTCTGCCCGATTCTTGTAAGATGCCCACTCCAACTGCGAAGAGCAGGGCGAGGAATAGCACGCACTTGGCAGGGAAATCATAGTCAATCAGGGGATAATCTCCTGGCATGACAAATAAAATCCAATTAAATCACATTAAAATCCGATTGCATCACATTCTCTCTGAGCATTTTGTCTGGTTCCATCCCATTACAGCACCATTTTTGCTGGACATCCACCAGTCACTCCTGTGAGGTGAACCAAGGTGTATGGCCTAAGGTGCATTCCATGTCATCAATTTCATCAAGAGTCAAGATGATAGAAATTAACACGGAACCTCATGATACATCATAATACATCATGATACATCATGATACATCATGATCATCATTGCAATTGAAGTTTTGGAAATTGCTTCGCTGCTTGCGAAACAAAGACCTTCCCATACCTTCCCTCTACTCACCCATTGTGATCCACCCTGAGCCACCCACATGGCGCTGAACATGGTTCCGTATCGCTGGGCCATGGTAAGGTCATCTACCTTCAATACTTGGATGACCTGCTGACAACGACTGGTCATAGGGCAGCCAGGCCTCTGTTGTGTCGTGTCTCTCGGTGAGCCACATCAGTGCTGAGAAAATCAACCAAAGCCTTGGCAACACATCAGCGCACAACTTTGCCATTCACCATTTCATGCGACGTTTGATCCCAAGTCAGAGGAATAAACATCATGTCAAAGATTACCAAAGTAGACCAACATACAGCTCTTTACATATGCCACTGAAATCAATGAAATCATTGGCTTCTATACGCAATCATTGGTCCACCAAAACTGCGAACGCACAAACGGTGGAGTCTTTTTCGCGTGGAGCAAGCAGCTGGGGCTCGGGCGAGGCTGAAGCATAGGCAGCCATCTGGAAATCCTGATCATTTATGAAGCCAATGATGTAGAGGTGTTTGTGTGTGTGTGGGGCACATTAATATATAATATATATTAATATCGTATAAGATCTTATTGCATAATCAACCTCAACAGGTCATCAAACAAATCATCGACCAACTTTTCACCGTTCCTGAAGAGTGGAGGCAGAATGAGGGATGCAACAGACACTGCACCTTTGCGTGCTTTGCGAATACCCTTCCAATCAATGACCTGATAGCGACAGCTGAATCAGCTGAATCTTCAAGTCTGAAAAAAGCAGAACTGCGCTTGAAAACAGCACACTCCTGGGTTCTCAGGCACAGATGGAATGTACTTGTCCAGCGTCAGCCTGAACATTTTAACGATGTGAAACCAGGGGCAACCCTACCAGCGTCAATTGCAGTCCCTGGCCACGAGGATCCACAGAGAAATCATGTGAAAACCATGATCTGACAGAGCCCTGGACAGTCGAAAGATCCGAAGCATGCCTCGGGCACACATGGCACACTGAGGTCTGTGGACTTAACGTGGACTGTTGAACTGCCATCATAAATCCACCAGATTCTGCTTCAGCAGGTTTCAGCAGGTTTCAGCAGGTTTCAGCACGTCCTTCAAAACATGAGAATATCATAGAATTTCTAAGTGCACCAAGTTTTCATTTGGCTTGACATTAAAGAAAGTGAAAAAAAAAATGGAACCACCGACCTTCAACACCAGATCAAGGCACGCAGCTCGCCATCGTACTGATCAGCCAGGCTGGATCCGCAGAGGGCCAGGTAGTATGGTGCCTGTCACCGCATGGTGTGGGGGAGGGAGTCCCAACTATGATGGTTTCTGCCTGGTCCCCATTGGATCCCATTGGTCCCCTGGTAAGTTTACCGTTTTTTTATTTTAAGGATGTCCACCTCTTGATCCTCTTTTAAACAGCCACAAGATATCACAAGTTACTGACAGTACTTTTTCATGACCTGAGATGTACTGAGGACTGGTCGATGGCGCAAAGGTCAATGATGGAGGAGATGGATGTGGCAAAACTCCACCGAGCTGCACTGTCACTTACCTCGGTGCCCCGTCCATCCACCTGGCTTTGGTACGGCCCGCCACCGAGCTTCCAGCGTAGCCCCTGGCTGCCCACTCTGGTGCCTGAGAAAAGAGAAAAACGATTGAAAACGCAAAGCCTTGAGCAGTGCAGAGCCGGATTCATCCAAATTCATTCCATATTCTGGATTGTTTCTGGCTTCTCTGAAGAGGAATGTGGGAACTTGATAGACTTTATGGATCAGGAACTTTTAGAGAAAACAATATGAAACAATGTTAATTATGAATCCCCCATGTATAGCCCGCTAGATGCTTTGCGGCCGACTTTATAGAGAATAGCCTGGTATAAACTGGAATGGCCACGTGTCTGGAGTCTATAAAGTGGAAAGCCAACATGTTTTGTCTATAAAGTCAAAATCCAACGTTTGTATAAAGTCGCCTGGCCGCGTAAAAACATAAAACTCGATGCAGGTTTTTGAGGGTGCTTGTGAACATGTCCCATGACTATAAAGTGAGATGCCGAACATCCAGATAGTAATACTTGTGCAGAACAGTGGCACTATAATGTGGATTTCCGGCTAAACAACGATCGTTGTAGTAGCGATGATTTTCTTAATCGCGACGATGGCAGCATCGACATGATTGTCTATAAAGTTGAGGGGCCACGTTCAAACCTTGGGGGAATATCATCGATCTCATCGATGGGGAACCCAAAAGACTTCGAATGACTTCGAAACCGAACGAAACCGACAGCCAGACAAATATCTATATCGAACTCGTTAACAGAATCTATGGTAAAACCAAATCTATGTTGGACTGGCCACTTTATACCCTCCCCCAACAGAGAATGTCTCTAACACACTTTCCTTTGAAAGAGGTCCTTGGGGTGAAAGGGGTCCTGGTCGCGCCGCGCGCGCGCGCGCGCCAAAATGGCTCCAATTTTGACACCTTTTTGGCGCGCGCGCGCGCGGCGCGCCCAGGACCCCATTCACCCTGAGGAATTTTTCAAGGGAAATCTTCTTCTCTATAAAGTGGCCAGTCCAGGTAAAACCCCTGAAAAAACAGAATCTATGTTGGACTAGCCACTTTATACCCCCTCCCCCAACAGAGAATGCCTCTATAAAGTGGCCAGTCCAAGTAAAACCCCTGAAAAAACACATTTTTACCTAGAATGGCCACTTTATACCCCCTCCCCCAACAGAGAATGCCTCTATAAAGTGGCCAGTCCAGGTAAAACCCCTGAAAAAAACAGAATCTATGTTGGACTGGCCACTTTATACCCCCTCCCCCAACAGAGAATGCCTCTATAAAGTGGCCAGTCCAGGTAAAACCCCTGAAAAAACAGAATCTATGTTGGACTGGCCACTTTATACCCCCTCCCCCAACAGAGAATGCCTCTATAAAGTGGCCAGTCCAGGTAAAACCCCTGAAAAAAAGAGAATCTATGTTGGAATGGCCACTTTATACCCCTTCCCCCAACAGAGAATGCCTCTATAAAGTGCCCAGTCCAGGTAAAACCCCTGAAAAAACACATTTTTACCTGGAATGGCCACTTTATACCCCAGCCAGTGGGCTCCAGGACTTTGACCCGGAAACGGAAGGGCTGACAACAAGGTAAAGGGGGGAAACTACAACGGAGAGGTACAACGGGAAGGCTAGCACAAGAAAATGAGACATGTCACGTTTATATACGTTTATTGTTTTCAATGTGTCATATAGATTGGCGATGATTGGTATATTGAATATGTTGTAGATGTATTTTGGAACATATGTATACCTATGATTCACACATCAATATAAATATGTATAAATCATAAACACATGCCAAACCAAAAACTTTTAGCTGAGTATTGTATTCCCAATCTGTTGGCAAATGTCCAGCCGATTCACCATGCGTGACCCAACAAGATTCAAACTATGGATTGTTTAATTTCGAAAAAAAATACTGGTTCTTGCAAACAATTTTATAGAGGATGGGCATGGACCGGCCAGTTTATACAGAGGGTGGGCTGCCAGAAATGACGTGATCAAACCACTTTATAGAGCTGAACTTTCTTGCAAACCATTTTATAGAGGATGGGCATGTGGCCGTGGTTTTGGTCCATAGATGTCCATAGATTTTTAGGATGATTTTGGGAGATTGTCGTCATAGATATACGTAGATTCACCCAGTACTTTTTTTTCAAAAGTAAACAATCCATAGTTTGAATCTTGTTGGGTCACGCATGGTGAATCGGCTGGACATTTGCCAACAGATTGGGAATACAATACTCAGCTAAAAGTTTTTGGCTTGGCATGTGTTTATGATTTATATATATTTAAATTGATGTGTGAATCATAGGTATACATATGTTCCAAATACATCTACAACATATTCAATATACCAATCATCGCCAATCTATATGACACATTGAAAACAATAAACGTATATAAACGTGACATGTCTCATTTTCTTGTGGTAGCCTTCCCGTTGTACCTCTCCGTTGTAGTTTTCCCCCTTTACCTTGTTGTCAGCCCTTCCGTTTCCGGGTCAAAGTCCTGGAGCCCACTGGCTGGGGTATAAAGTGGCCATTCCAGGTAAAAATGTGTTTTTTCAGGGGTTTTACCTGGACTGGCCACTTTATAGAGGCATTCTCTGTTGGGGGAGGGGGTATAAAGTGGCCATTCCAGGTAAAATGTGTTTTTTCAGGGGTTTTACCTGGACTGGCCACTTTATAGAGGCATTCTCTGTTGGGGGAGGGGGTATAAAATGGCCATTCCAGGTAAAAATGTGTTTTTTCAGGGGTTTTACCTGGACTGGCCACTTTATAGAGGCATTCTCTGTTGGGGGAGGGGGTATAAAGTGGCCAGTCCAACATAGATTCTGTTTTTTCAGGGGTTTTACCTGGACTGGCCACTTTATAGAGGCATTCTCTGTTGGGGGAGGGGGTATAAAGTGGCCAGTCCAACATAGATTCTGTTTTTTCAGGGGTTTTACCTGGACTGGCCACTTTATAGAGGCATTCTCTGTTTGGGGAGGGGGTATAAAGTGGCCAGTCCAACATAGATTCTGTTTTTTCAGGGGTTTTACCTGGACTGGCCACTTTATAGAGAAGAAGATTTCCCTTGAAAGGGGTCCTCAGGGTGAATGGGGTCCTGGGCAGCTCTATAAAGTGATTTGGGTGATGTATCTCATGACTCTATAAAATGCTCTGCCGCAATTTTCTTTCTATAAAGTGCCCTGGATGCAGCACAAATTCTTCTTCTTAAAGGGCAAGTTTCACTCTATAAAGTGCTTTGCCATGTATACAGCCCCAACAGAAAGATATTGGCCCGAAATCATTGGGGAGACATGTTTCTATAAAGTGGATGGTGTGACATATTATGGCCATTCTTTGAAGGGAACCAACGGTCTATAAAATGCATTGCCGCATATATTGAGTCGTTTCCTTGTGGGGAACCAGCCGGGTATAAACTGGAAAGCCAACGTTGCTATAAAGTCATCTTCCAGGTCCAAGGGCATGTTTCTCGCGCAAAACACGGCTTTATCCCCCATTGTCGGTATATAAAGTGGCGACCGGAAACCCACTTTATAAGCGCAAAGGATGTCCACTTTATAGTGAGCTATACATGGGGGATAATTATGAAAGTATGCCTGGGCCAATCATCGTCGGAGCCTCTGGTGCTGAGAAGTACCGAAGGCCATACTCAACGGTGAAAAGAAGTGTGGCCATGATCTCAATGACATCCAGAACCTTTCGAAAGCATCCAAAGCATCAAAAGCATCGAGCAACGTCCAACAATAATATACAATAATCAATAATCATAGATATCACAGTGCTGGCTCTTTTTTTGCGTCAAACCTGTCCGTTGCATGGACCGCCTGACGGTTGAAGGAGCCAGGTGGATCAAAGCCATCCACGGTCTCCTGCTCAGCAAACACTTGGATGCTGGGTTTTGTCAAAGCTTCACGAGACATCGAAAGTGCAAGGCTAACATTCAACACATTTCAACACTGTACGCTTTGCAAGAACGCTGTGTTTCCAGCCAAAGGATGCTTTAAAATGGTCTTGCATCGTCATGTCGCTTCTCAGTTGATCCATTCTGATCCACGATCCATTCACATCATTTCACATCATGTTGCACATCAACACAGCTGCTCCATAATGGCAGCCATAACAGTCACCTCAGCACTGACAGTTGGAATCTATGCTGTCCATCTAGGTGCCGCATGGTGCCGCCATGTCCATTGCCGCCGGGCCGCAAAAATGGTGAAGAAAATAAGTCGTTCAAAATACACCGCACGGGCTTCCCAGCGATTCAGGTCTTCGACCTTTTGCGAAAGAGATTTGGTCCACTCAAACCATCTTGAACAGGGTGCAAAATGGTGCAAACATGTGACGTGGCCTGGTTCGCTGCTGAGCCTTGCAGGAACTTGTATACAAGTTGTCCTCAGGCTGAACAGGCTGAACTTCGAAGCTCTGCGAGCATGAAGCGAACTGACCATCTTTGCTGTGTCAACCCAATCCCATCAGACTCTGATCTCCAAGTCCATGTTTTGCCTCACAATGATCCCATCTACCCATGAAGCGAATGAAGCGATGAATGTGATGCCTTACATGCAGTAGTATATTTATATTATTATATAGTATGTCCAACATGTCCAACATGTCCAACCGAGCTCTTCACTGAAGGTCATCCACTGAGGTTCCACAGCTGGGCCTAATGTGACAAGCCAACGATCAGCCAAGCCATCCCAGTTCCAACCCATCCTGGCCTGGCTTTTTTGGGGCAGTGGATGCAGTGGCTTCCTCCTCCTGTTCCAACAGGTCCTGGAAGCCTGAACCAAGAACTCCCATGGGAATCGTCACGAAGCCGACCCCGATCAATCCTCAGCGGGGGGGTCACTGCCGTCCCCACCGAAATGTCTCTCCATGTTTCACTTTCGTTCCCATGCTGCAACCATGCTGCAACCATCTGCAACCATCTGCAACTATTGTGCATGTGTGGCATCCGCTGCTTCGTGGGGGTAATGGAACTCAAGCCAACAGTGCGACCATGGCACCCATCAAGGCAGAGATGAACTTTCCAGCCTCGGGTCGCCGGGCCCACCGCCCATGCCGGGCCCGCCCCTGCCGCCCCAGGGTCAACGCCGTGTCGGGACCCAAGGCGATCACCGTGGTGTATTCGCACAGCGGAGCCTCCCCGGACAAGTTCAGAAGTGTTACCCACCTCGCGAGAGTCTGACCAAAGCTGTGAATGATTTTGACATGATATACATATATTACAGGTATTTTAGGTGTATATATATATATACATAACTACATAAAATTACATACATATGTGGAAATCGTTCCAAAAATGTGGTCATGTATTCACATCTTTCAGCCAGCTTTAAAATGCCCAAGGTATCAAAAAGTCACCTTTGTCTTCGCGGATTGGCAGCCAGCGCAATCAGAAAATCGCAAACTATTTGCTTTCTGCCTAGCACGGCGATGCTATCTTGACATTGTGAATCTATGCCTATGCAAGCTGTTTTAGCTCGCTTGTGCCTAAATGTAGGAGAACAAAAAAAAAAAACTATCAAAGATCATTTCCCATTGAAACTATGGATTTTCATGGATTTTCCATCCTCAAAAGATATCAAAAGTGGTAACCCCAGCGTCGGGAGATGCTCAAAGTCTCCACAATCCAGAAGTCTGCTGGCGTCGTGGCAAGGGGCGCAGCAAATTCACCAAATGCGTTTGCCCACCGACTTCAGCGTACTGATGAACCTCCCCCTTTGATGTCAGCAAAGAAGGCTCTGGGCGTTCAACAAACTCAAACTCTGCGTCATCAACGCCTGCCTTTTCCACTGCCAATCTGCAGGAGCGACTTGCTTGGACGCGGTTGTCAGGTGCTGTTGATTCCAAAAGTTCCAGCTGATGAATGAGTTTTCCAAAAAGATGATATCGCTGCCGGTCAATGCCAACAATGCCACCAATGCATTCGCCCGTGTGAAGACCCACACGGACTCCAATCGACTCACCAGAGCGGGATGACCAGCTTTGGGTGACCTGCACCATGTTGAGGCCAAAGCGAATAACATTGGGAGGATAATTTTGCAAGGTCAAAGGTGGCTCGGCTTGACCAGCAATATAGGCATCCCCCACTGTCTCTACTTTGTAGATGCCATACTCATCTGCCAAATCATCAAACATGCCAAAGAGATCTGACACGGCTTTCACCACTGCTTCTGGGGGCTTTGAGCTGGCCATCCGAGTGAACCCCACCAAATCAGATTGCACCAGCGTGGCCCGGAAGTAGTGATGCGATGGAGGACATGAACCCGGGCCCGTTTTCTGCAATTCCTCCAGGACCTTTGGAGGCATCATGGTTTCGAGGATGCCCTCGATACGTCTCTTGGCATCATCAATTCCATGCCTGGCCTTGAACTGGTTCCGCAGGCTTCGCTCTCCCATGTAGGCTTTCAGGACAAAAATCAGGCTGTATCCCAAGAAGGTCAAGCCTTCGGATGGGTAGCCATTGCCTTCCGTCTCTGGCACATAGCGAATGACCAGCAAGGTGAGAGCAAACGTCAGGAGGAAAACAACTGAGGTCAGAAAGTCCTGTTGATACGACATCATGAGGGCTGCGTACACAGGAAGAGTCATCAGTGCGACAACATTGTCGGGAACTGCCAGCAGGCCCATATTGGCATATGGCGGGAGCAGGATGTAGGATAGCATCATCAATGACACCAATAGCAAGTGCCCAGCCTGGCTGCCGAGTTTGGCCTTCCATCTCCTTGCTTCACTCTCTTGCCCCCAAGAAATCAAAGGTGGGCAAACATAAGACATGGCAAGGGAAAGGCTGGCCGCAACTGCCCGGAGCATGAAATAAAATCGGAGTGCAATCAAACCGGTGCCGAGGCGATGGAAGCTTGTGAAGCTCGAGTGCATGAAGAGCATGTAGCAAGCCTCTACTATGGTGAGAAGACACAGGAACATGGCTTGACGGCGCAGCCTGAACTTGCTGAAATTATCTGCCAAAACTGAAGCAGAATACCACTTCCTGTAATCCTTTTCCAGCTCTGCTGGGAAGCCTTCCCATCCAGGGCACCAAGAAATCAAGCAATGCCGGCACCCCTTCTGAGATCTGCTGTGCAAGACTTCCAGCATGTCATTGAAGTCGCTGGAGGGCCCTTGATATGCCCCTTCGGCCGTGCGTTTTCCCGCCTGCAGAGCACTAAACAAAGCTTTGGTGGTCCTCAGGGGGTGCTTTGGGATCCGTGCTGGTCTCCTTCTCTCAGCTGTGACCGCAGCCAAGCTGTAGACCATCACCCGGCCCTTGCCCTTCATCTCCACCTCTCCACGGCAGGTCACGGTCACCCAGCTGGGTAGCAGGGCACGGGTGGCCTCACCAAACAGCAGCTCGCCGGCCTGGCCTCTCTGCATCATCCGGGCCGCGGTGTTGATGGTGTCACCAAACAGGCGGTACCTTGGGAGCTTATTACCAACCACCCCAGCCACCACTGGGCCTGTGTGCATCCCCATCTTGAAGGATACACCCTCATAGCTTAAAACCTCACTGGCAACCAGGATCAAACTGCTCAATGCTTCCTGGACATCTTCACTTTCACTGCCAGGTTGAATGCCAACAGCACACACATATTCCTCGGCAACTGTCTCAACCTTGGTCACGCCATTGGTTGCGCATAGCATGTCAAATTGGTTGTAATAGTGATTCAAGAACTGCAAAATCTCTGGTGGCGTCTTCTGCTGAACGGTGCTTTCGAAATCATCAAATGCAATGAATAGAACCGATGCACAGTCAAATCGGTAAGACACCTTGCATGCCGAGCTCACTTGTTGTGCCTCCTGCAGCAGCGGCAGTACTACAAAGTCAGGAACCATGAGTTCCAGGACCTTGAACATACTCAAACTCACCTCCTTGCTCTTGTTGTTGGTCAGGAAAAGTGCTCGATTTTGCTCTTCCATGATGATTTTCTTTCGGTTTGCCACCACTTGGACCAATGACAACAGTAACAGTCGAACGAAGAATTCATTCTTGGCATCTCTGGCATCTGTCCAGTCCAGATCGTCATTCATGGAAATCACACTGGAAACCAAAGTCGCCACAAAAATCCAGATCCACATGTAAGGAAAGTACCTGTACTCTGGCAGGACAACAACCTGCGCCATGACACTGAACATTTGGTTTTGAAACTGGAAGTACTGCAATCTTTGGCAGTCGTTTGCATCTGGAAACGCAGCGCAATCAAATTGATGTTCATGCCGACCTTTGCGGCCACATGCAAAATGAAGCAATGGAAAGAAGGAAGCCACTCGATCCATATATGCCAATGTCACCAGGGTCATGTGAAGCCGTTTGCTCTTCCAGTTGAGGTTGAGTACCAGGAGGGGCACCAACGCAAAGAACAAAACGACATTGTAGACAATGGAGGCGCGAAGAAGGCGTGATTTGTCTAGCCCAATGATGCCACAGCCATACCACAAATTCTTCCAAATCACAGCAGCACGGAGCAGAACCTCACACAAGGCCAGAAAAGCACTCCCAAGCACAATCTGATCTTGACACCCCTCGGTGCGCCAGAGTTTCTCCACCGCCGGGGTCAGGAATGACATTCTCATGTGCAGCGTTGGGTTGGTGGCGATTGACAAGGGAAGTTCCACACCTTGTCGCCGCATCTGCTCTTCGATGGAGGCATTCAAGTTGTCACGCTGTTGGATCATGGCTTCCAACTCCGTATCAGCAACCTGCCGGTAGGGATCGCTGTCACTGCGGTCACTGCGGTCACTGCCGTCACTGCGGTCACTGGTGGAGTCTCCATTGCGTCGGAACAGCGCTGAGCACCACCGGACACAGCGTGGCTTTGGCTTTGGCTCGCCGTCGGTGCCATCGCTGCTTTCATCCGTGCTTGAGTCGGTCATGGAATGAGGACACCCATTCATCGGGTGGTCACTCTAACGGTCACTCTCTTGATCTATTTTGACATCAGAGCAAACGGCTGCAGAGTGAGGAAACAATGCCTTGTATGCCAACGCTGAGTTGGAGATGCTTCAACTGAACAATGCCTCGTTTCAAGCTGACAGCTGTGCTTTGTTTCCCATGCCACATGATGGTTCATGTTTCAGGACCGCTCCGCCAAACGCAGAACAACTTCAAATAGCAAGTCGCCACACTTCGGCAGAGATCTTTCAAGTTATGCTGATCCAAGCTGCATGGAAGTGGACACGCTCGAGTAGTGGCTAGCCTTAAGGACTTGAAAAAAAGCAGCTGTGAAACGGCGCTGTGAGGATCTTGGTTTCCAAGCCATCTCTGGGTCCGGATTCTTGCGTTCAGCGTAGTACATCAGGGTGCTGAAAATCACCTGGCAGTTTTTTTTCCCACATGGTAGCGGATTCTCAGAGCAATCTGCACAATCCCCAGCAGTATGGAGGTTTGGCTAAAACATTGGGCGCCTACCAAAATTTGTGTTTAATAATTAGTGATTTTCTCACTTAAATGGCAACCTTGATCCCTCAGAATGTGCCAGCAAGGTACCCACATCACGGCTGCTGCGCCGCCAGTGACAGAGAGCACTGCCCTGTTTTGCCACAAGATCTGCTTGAAGGAGCTGAAAGCTCCGATGTATCGCTCCTCGCAACAGAAGCGTCCACAGTGGATGAAATTTTCAGGTCGGAAAAAAATCATTTCGACCAGGTCTCGGTCCAGCTTGAGAATACGCAGCGTGGCAAAAGCGCGCAAGAATGGCTTTGGATATACCTCAAAGTTGGCCCAATTCGTCACCAATCTAATTCCAATCTAAATGTGATATCAAGATGTATCAAGATGTATCAAGTGATATCATATTGAATCATAATGGACATCTGAACAGTATCTGACGGTGGGTCCTTTGGTCCTGGGGCCCCAAACATAGCCGAAGGCTGGGATCAGCGCACACAGGCCGTCGATGATGCCGAAACCACTCACGATGTACCGCAGGGAGGACAAGCCACTGCTAACACTGCTGGCCGCCCGGATCCTCACATTTTGTGGGTGAATTTGATGTAAATTTGATGTTACACCATGGCAATATATGGCCATATATGGCCCATGGCAGTTGATGGATGTACCATGGATTTTTTTTGGAATGCACAATAACTGTTGAACTGATGAAACTCATCAGTCCTGTAGATGTACTCCACCTGAAAGACGCGAGTAGCTGTTATAAGTCACGACTTGGCAGAGACCTTTCATTCCACGCTGAGGTGCTGCTGTCCCCAGGGCTCAGGCTGAAAATGTCACAGTTGCAATCACATCCAGAACTGCCAGGACAAATAACAGCCTGCCAGCCAAATCCGAATCAGCTGGTACAAATGCTGCACAAGATGCTACGACATGCTACGACTGGTACGACTTCCATTTGCTGTGATCTGGCAAGGTCCAGGCTCATCTAAGCGCGAGGGTAAGTTTCTCAGAGTGCCTCACAAGGACGGCACTCAGCGGATGCCAGTGGATGGCGTGGCATAAGATGCATAAGCTGTGGGCCCAGAATGAAATAAAGTGAGGATGCCGCCACCAATAGCACCTGAAACACGAATCGTGTTTCATCTGAAGTGTGACGAAATTCAAACATCTCAGGTCCTGACGCTGAGAATAAACCAGGCATCTGCCAGGTCAACCGCAAAATCCTCCGTCACCGGGTAGGTTTTGACCTACACATGGTACACGAAATGCCATGGGGATAGCTGGAAATGATGACAAATGATGACACATGCATATGAAAATCTAAAAAAAACAAATGGAATCAGTGAAGCAAAACTCCGTGCCTCTCTCTCACCGTCGAGGCAACGAACAGTGTCAACACCCACCTTGCTACATCTGAAAATCAATTTGTTTGACCGGTGACTTAACCATTCATCCTATATCGGTTTGCTCAAAAGTGGGGCCCTGGGTTCCTGAAACAGCAATTTTACTTCAAAAATGATGATATATGATGATAAACACTGATAGACATTGAGAATACTGTAAAGCCTGGGAAAAATGGTGAAAGGGGGGAACTAGGACAAGAGAGGTTGGAGGTTGGTTGGGAAGCTGTTATGTTCAATGTTGTAAATCTAAATGTTTGACTGTTTCTTTCTGTTAATCTTGCTAAATGTTTCGTCGGAGTTGTTTGATTAATGGTTTGGTTTGGATGAGGGTAGGGTGAACAGGTTGTTGTGGTTTTGCTGTATGAGATAGTGTCCATTAATGTTCATTTGATGCTTGATGTTTTCTTCGTGTCGTTTCATTGTATATTTTCTTACTTCACATTTACAAATTGGACATTCCAACGTTTCTTTCTTTTTATCACTTAATTCTTCCTTTTTCCTTTCGTAGTATTGTTGAGAATATTGTTTTAAAATTTCTTTGTGCTGTTCCCTGTATCTGCGTTTGTTTTCTAAGCATTTATTACACTGCTTACATTCATTTTTGTAGTAGTCTAACGGTTGAAAGACTTTACATTTAGAACACTGCTTTTTGTCAGTCATTATACCTCTACAATTTTAAGGGGTTATGTCTTTAAGGGGGTTTTAGGGTGGATTACATCATAATATATTTTATTAAGATATTATGAACAAATCGTTAGGTTTAGTGTCTCCACTTTTCATCACCACTACCTATTCCATCCCAACATTGAGAAACAATCGTTTTGATGTTGTAGAACACTAAAATGATTGTGTCTCTATCAAGTCCTCGTTGGTCAATCAAGTATCCCAACACTGACAATAGTGTATAATAGTTTTGTTGTAATGCTGTCATTCCTCCTCTATGGTGTATCCTCTCACCATGTTTTTTGATTAAATCTTTATCAAATAATATGTTTTCATAAATTTCTTCCATAAGGTCGTGGTTTATCTCTCCATACTCTGCGTATTGCTCTAAAGATTGTTTTTGCTTAAGTAGTAGGTCATATTCTATAAAGTTATAATCAGGATAAGTTTTTTTTAATGAAATTCATTAATCTTTCTCTGTCTCTTTTTAGTTCCTCTTCACTAACTCCAATCATTGGCATTTTTCACTTATAGGTATTTTTTCTTTAAGTATCTATCACTTTTTGTAGGTGTTCTTTTATTTCATCTTGATTAATGTAATGCTCAAAGTGTTTGAAAAGCTTGAATAGGTCTTTTAATCTGAAATCTATATTTCTAAATTCATAATAACGGTTTAAGCTAGGACCAGGAAACATCCAAGAATTCTTTATTGCTTTTATATTGTGAAGGTCTTCAAGCATTTGATATGTATGTCCCAAGTTTTTCTTTACATAAGATTTAGTCGCTTGAGGAAATATGCCTTTCTTCAGTGTAGGATTTTTCATCAATATGTATAATTCTCTTCTCATTTGTCGGTCATTCACACTATCAGACAAATCTATTGGCGATGCTTCCATCCTTGTTTTAAAGACATGTATTTCCTCATACAAATGTTGGTTTGACGATGTTTTGATAGATTGGATTTGGACGAAATTGTCCGTCCGCAGTCGGGACAGGTGAAAGGGGTTGATAATTTCTTTTGATAGTATTTTGAGAAGTAGTTTGGGTCGTTGGGTTTCTTGTCATAAGTTCCATCGGGTTGCCATCTTGTGGAGATTGGCATTGGGGGTTCTTGGATTGTAGGTTGATGGAGTGCTTCAACCATCTGGTCAAAGATGTCCTCGTCCATTTCTTGCTTCTTACCATCAATTACTACATAGCAGGGCATATCAAATTTTAATTACATAAGGCGACTTGTCTTTAAGTATTTTTGGGTTTTGCGTTGGAAAGCCGAGGGATTTGGTATAGACACCGTTTCACCAAAATGGATAGCGCAACGATTTGTCTTGTGGCGAGGGTGTCATAGATGTGAATGTCAGAATATTCGCCACCCACCAAATGGGGAAGGTTTTTTGTCAAGAGAGATATGGGGAGGGAACAAATCATCATCAACAACATGAACACGAGTGAATAAAGAACTAAAATCAAAATGTCCATCCATTCTCACCAGACTTAGAGTCGTTGTCGTCTTCGTCCTCATCGTCATTGTTGTCTGCCACCACTGGGATGCGCATTGAAGTTGCAAAAGCCGAGCGCGTCACTCCCCCAGTGGTGTTTTTCCCCACCTGCCAGGTGAGGGTTGTTAGATTTTAACTAAGTTGCCTTCTCCTGCCTCCTCTCCTCCTCCTCTCGTCGTCCTCCTCTCGTTGTCCTCGTCGTCCTCGTTGTCCTCCTCGTCCTCCTGCTCAACTGCGACTCGCGATCCACAGTGTTCCCTGCCGGACCTCAACCACGACCATCCACGCCCAGTGTTCCCTGCCGGACCTCAACCACGACCATCCACGCCCAGGGTTCCCTGCCGGACCTCAACCACGACCATCCCCGCCCAGTGTTCCCTGCCGGACCTCAACCACGACCATCCACGCCCAGTGTTCCCTGCCGGACCTCAACCGCGAGTATCCACGCCAAAAGATATGCCACATAGAGTGCCAGAAGATATGCCAGATAGAATGTGAGAAGATATGCCAGATAGAATGCCAGAAGGTATGCCAGATAGAATGCCAGATAGAATGTCAGCTAGAATGCCAGAAGATATCTCAGATAAAGTGCCAGAATGTTTGCCAGATAGAATGCCAGCAGATTTGCCAGATAATATGCCAGAAGATATGCTAGATAGAATGCCAGATGGAATGCCAGAAGATTTGCCAGATAATATGCCAGAAGATATGCCAGATAGAATGCCAGATGGAATGCCAGAAGATATGCCAGAACATATGAAGATATGCCAGAAGATATGCCAGAACATCTGCCAGAAGATATGCCAGGTAGAATGCCAGAAGATATGCCAGATAGAATGCCAGATCGAATGCCAGAAAATATGTCAGATAGAATGCCAGAAGATTTGCCAGTAACAAAATGTATAAATGTCATGGTGGAGATCACACAAAGTAAAGTAATTTTTCTTTTTTTTCCCCTTCTTCTCCTTCTCCTTTTATTTCTTTCATCCAATCAATGTGGATGCCCCCAAGAATGAAAAACAAAAGAGCCCGAGTCCAGACCCTACGAAAGACACGGTCGCCTGACATCCTGACAAATGAATATTGTGGGGTGTAGGGTTATAGACTATAGATGTATCATATATCGCATCTTCAAAGAACGGGTGTAAAACCAATGAATATACAGTTTAGGAATTGTCCGAAATCGACACTCCCTACACGTGTTGGTTGAACTCCTCACTGAAAGTTGGTCTTTTGAAGGCTACCCGCAATTTTTCTTGTGATCTTCACTTGAACGGATTTGTTCCATAAAAAGCGTTGAACATGTTTCCACAATGTTTGTTTGAAACCCAGCCAACCCTCAACGAAGGTCTCGTCAGTGATGATTTTTTGACCTCGGAATGGGCGCAACACCCCCTCACACTGGAAGGCTCATCCCCTATGAGGGTAGGCTCATAAGAGGATGATGTCATCATTATCCAAAATCCCTACTAAAAATGAATAGAAATGAGGGTTGTCTCATATGAGGATGAGGTCATACTTGATGAGGACGGGCTCATACCTGATGATTGTTGGCTCGTCCCCTATGAAGTTGCGCTCATACTCCTATAAGACCGTGTTCATCCTTGAGGGAATGAGGGAGTGCTCATCAAGGCAAAGGGTCTCACTGATCAAGGTGTCTCGCAAAAAGCCTACATTTTTTTTCATGAAGGCTGTCCAAAGGTGTCTGTCTGTGTGATACCGCAATTGGGCAGTGACTGTCTGAACATTACAAACGCCCCTCAGTGGCTCTACAGGTCAAAGACCTTCTTGACGGCCTTGTGCTGACAGCCAAACTGCAACTCATAACGACCATCATCTCGGGGCGTGAAGATGTTGGTCTTGACCATATGCTGGATGAAGGTCTCCTCGGGGTCTGCACCAGTGAAGGTTGCCAACTTGCCGGGTGTAGCCACTCTGATGTCCTTAATGCCGATCGGCTCATTCAAGGCCTTCTGGTAAAGTCCCTTGACATTTGTGAAGGGCTGACCGTTGGTCTTCTCAATGGCACTCACCCACCCTTGCATCTCCTTGTTGCAAAAGGCCTCCTTGCCTGCTGATGCGCTCAACCCCCTCAACTTCTCAAAGGTTCTGGGCATCTCCATCAGCATCTCCTCGCTGATGTTCTCCTGACCCAAGGCCTTGAGGTATGCCTTGGACTTGGAGATGGGCAACTCCCTTCCAAGCATCTTACGAAGGCGAGGCTCTCCTAGGGACAGCATCATCAAGCCCTCGCTGGAGGAGATGAGGGCTGATGACACATGCCTGTCTGCGCAAAGGACCTGCTTCACGAAGAACTTCGCATCAAAGTTGGTGGGGAAATGCAGGTTTTCTTTGCCCGTGGTCACCTCAATGATGTTGGAGACATGCGGCTCATCTATTCCGTGCTTTGTCACAGCCAGCACATCAAAGCCGAGGCGAACCGGCTTCTGGGTCTTGTCCCTTACTTTCTTGAAGACCTCCGTCACCACATCCTCGTGGGTCTTTCCCCAATCTACCCTCATGCCATCCAGAAGCCACGGGAGCTTCCAAATGTTTTTGCGGAGTTGATTGTGGATGGCTCGATGCACATCGTCGTGGGAGACCTTCAGGAAAAAATGGTTCTCGGCCTCGGTCTTCCCAGTGGCTTGCATGCCAATGAGAGCCACCATGCCATTCTTGCCAAGACCTCGGTGGATGGCTGGGAGGTCAAAGTTTAGGAACTCCAATTGGAACTCCTCAGGCTTCTCTGGGCGGAAACGCCCCTTTTGGATGGCACGAGCCATCCGGTCTTGCTCGGTGGCATTCCACGCAACGGCCATGAGAGAGCCGCTGACCCCACTACCAAAGATGAGGGGCACACTTTTCTCCCCAATCCATTTCGCCCACGAACCCAGCATCCTTTGGCTGTTGTGGGGTTTTGAACCCCCAATGTTGCTGGAGAAAACAAAGATGGCAGACACGAATGTTCAAAATCAACACCATCACATACCATCACAAAAATAACAACAACATGAGAGCAAGTCTGCACAATGACGCAAGATGACACAAGATGACACAGGACAAGTTCGCACAAGTCCTTTCTCCAAGCATTGGGTGTCCCAACGTGTTGAAAATGAGGGCGTCAGCGAAGAACAGGAAGAACAGGAAGCATAGGAAGGACAACGGAAAAAACGACAAAGGCAGATGGGACACTTGGCAACCTCCTTAAAAAAACTCCGGTCACGATGCATGTGTTTGGCGTTGACACAGGTGTTGGTGATTGGGGAAACCAAGACAAGGAAACCGGAGACCATAAGAAGGACTGCTTCAGAATATAGCCCCAACAACCTAGACAAACCCTAACCAAAACATAAATCAAGCAAAAAATTATCAACAAGGTAAGCATGAACACTTTGACCTAAAATGTCCCAAAAACAGCCCCAGAAAAACATCAACACCAAGGAACAAACATTGAACATAAACCTACAAACCATAACAGCCAAAACACCCTCAACAAAACCTACCCTCATCCAAACCAAACATTATCACAACAACCTCAACAAAACATTTAGCAAGATAATCAAAAAGAAACAGTCAAACATTTAGATTTACAATATTGAACAAAAACATAACAGCCTCCCAACCAACCTCCAACCTCTCTTGTCCTAGTTTCCCCCTTTCACCATTTTTTTCTGGGAGTTTGGAGCGAGCCTTCAGCGGAGTCTTCTGCGTCTGGGCCTCTGGATCCACTCCATCCTGCTGCTCTGCTGCTTCCTGAGGTACAACTATGGCACCAACATGGCACCAACAATCCCACCATCCCAAACCCTTTACATCAATCTCCGGAGTGCCTCAAAGACTTTACTCACTTACATGGACGTGACATAACTATATATTCTGAGTATAAAAAACAGTATAAATATCATATTAATATAGAATCCTCATCACTTGTGGTTTTCTTCCACTTTCCCATACTTTACCCAGTTCTATCCCAGTTCCCCGGAGTCCCCGGAGTCCCCGGAGTCCCCGGAGTCCCCGGAGTCCCCGGAGTCCCCGGAGTCCCCGGAGTCCCCGGAGTCCCCGGAGTCCCCGGAGTCCCCGGAGTCCCCGGAGTCCCCGGAGTCCCCGGAGTCCCCGGTCCTCGTCGTTCATCTCCTTCTCCACGAGTTCGGAAAAGGCGTTGCCCAGCGCTCCCGCCGGGATGGCCATGACCGCTGCCCCCATGACCTGGCGATGGAAATGTGAAGCTAACACTCTGGTACAGAGAACATAGTAATACTGTGCTTATATCGTGGTTATGTTGTATATAATATATATATATACTATTATACATATATATTAAAAATAATTATATATAATTATAGTGATCCTGAAGTAGATAGAATATTTTTTTGGAGGGTGCGGGATTTATGTTGGAATTATGTTGGATGTCGGCCACTTAAAAAAAAAACAGATAGTTGGAATATTTCGACCCCCCTCCGGGGAGGTCGAAAACTGGTAGTTGGAATATGGTTTGGAGGGGTAGGTAGAATATTGTTGTTTCAAAGTGGCCCATTTACTTCAAGATATTGAGCAATTACCCGTATATACTCATGCATAGGGATGACAATAAATATATATATATTTATATAAAAATACATATAATTATATATATATATATTATGTAGGTATTTCAATATACAAGCCGCTCCGCCCACATAGAATATGCAAGGAACAGGGTCCCCTTCATGTATAATTATTAAATACGTAATTCCCTTTGGGGAGTAGCACCCCTGGATGTCTGAAGTTCCTAAACTAGAACGTTTCAACAAGAAACAGGTCCTCCGAAATGATCAATTTCTTTTCATATTGTTTAAAAAAAATGAATTTTTCAAGCTCACCGAGGGGTACCCCCCACGACCGGCGTCGTAGAACTATGAAAAAAAACTATTTTGCAATGAAAACCAATGGAATTAGGTGGCATTCTGAAAAAAATGATGAATATTTTCACTGGGGACCTATATTCTATGTATGTAGTTTTGCAAGGAATAGGGTCCCCTTCATGTATAATTATTAAATACGTAATTCCTTTTGGGTAGCAGCAATCCTGGATATCTGAAGTTCCTAAACTGGAACGTTTCAACAAAAAAACAGGTCCCCCGAAATGATCAATTTATTTTTATATTGTATTTAAAAAATGAATTTTTCAAGCTCACCAAAGGGTACCCCCCACGAACGGAGTCGGAGAACTATGAAAAAAAACTAGTTTGCAATGAAAACTACTGGAATTAGTTGGTGTTCCTAAAAAAATGGTTAACTATTTTCACTGGGGACCTATATTCTATGTATGTGTTTCTGCAAGGAATTTGGTCTCTTCCATGTAAAAGTAGAAGGGTATATATCTATATATATATCAATATATATCAATATATATCATATACGTAATTCCCTTTGGGGAGTAGCACCCCTGGATGTCTGAAGTTCCTAAACTTGAACGTTTCAACAAGAAACAGGTCCTCCGAAATGATCAATTTCTTTTCATATTGTTTAAAAAAAATGAGTTTTTCAAGCTCACCGAGGGGTACCCCCCACGACCGGCGTCGTAGAACTATGAAAAAAAATATTTTGCAATGTAAACCAATGGAATTAGGTTGCATTCTGAAAAAATGATGAATATTTTCACTGGGGACCTATATTCTATGTATGTAGTTTTGCAAGGAATAGGGTCCCCTTCATGTATAATTATTAAATACGTAATTCCTTTTGGGTAGCAGCAATCCTGGATATCTGAAATTCCTAAACTGGAACGTTTCAACAAAAAAACAGGTCCCCCGAAATGATCAATTTCTTTTTATATTGTATTAAAAAAATGAGTTTTTCAAGCTCACCAAAGGGTACCCCCCACGAACGGTGTCAGAGAACTATGAAAAAAAACTAGTTTGCAATGAAAACTAATGGAATTAGTTGGTGTTCCTAAAAAATGGTTAACTATTTTCACTGGGGACCTATATTCTATGTATGTGTTTCTGCAAGGAATTTGGTCTCTTCCATGTAAAAGTAGAAGGGTATATATCTATATATATATATCATATACGTAATTCCCTTTGGGGAGTAGCACCCCCATGAGGTTCTGAAGTTCCTCAAAAACTAGAACGTTTCTTTTCAAACAAGAAACCAGGTCCTCCGACATGATCAATTTCCTTTTCATATTGTTTTAAAAAAAATGAATTTTTCACGGCTCACCGAGGGGGTCCCCCCCGGACCGGAGTCGTAGAACTATGAAAAAAAAAACTATTTTGAATAATGAAAAACCCAATGGAATTATGCAGTGGCATTCGGAAAAAATGATGAATGTTTCACTGGGACCTATTTTTTTAATTTCTTTTATCACTTTCCTTTCCTCCTTTCCTTTCCTATATTCTATGTATGTAGTTTTGCAAGGAATAGGGTCCCCTTCATGTATAATTATTAAATACGTAATTCCTTTTGGGTAGCAGCAATCCTGGATATCTGAAGTTCCTAAACTGGAACGTTTCAACAAAAAAACAGGTCCCCCGAAATGATCAATTTCTTTTTATATTGTATTAAAAAAATGAGTTTTTCAAGCTCACCAAAGGGCACCCCCTACGAACGGAGTCGGAGAACTATGAAAAAAAACTAGTTTGCAATGAAAACTACTTAAATTAGTTGGTGTTCCTAAAAAATTGTTAACTATTTTCACTGGGGACCTATATTCTATGTATGTGTTTCTGCAAGGAATTTGGTCTCTTCCATGTAAAAGTAGAAGGGTGTATATCTATATATATATATCATATACGTAATTCCCTTTGGGGAGTAGCACCCCTGGATGTCTGAAGTTCCTAAACTAGAACGTTTCAACAAGAAACAGGTCCTCCGAAATGATCAATTTCTTTTCATATTGTTTAAAAAAAATGAATTTTTCAAGCTCACCGAGGGGTACCCCCCACGACCGGCGTCGTAGAACTATGAAAAAAAAATATTTTGCAATGAAAACCAATGGAATTAGGTGGCATTCTGAAAAAAATGATGAATATTTTCACTGGGGACCTATATTCTATGTATGTAGTTTTGCAAGGAATAGGGTCCCCTTCATGTATAATTGTTAAATACGTAATTCCTTTTGGGTAGCAGCAATCCTGGATATCTGAAGTTCCTAAACTGGAACGTTTCAACAAAAAAACAGGTCCCCCGAAATGATCAATTTCTTTTTATATTGTATTTAAAAAAATAGTTTTTCAAGCTCACCAAAGGGTACCCCCCACGAACGGAGTCGGAGAACTATGAAGAAAAACTAGTCTGCAATGAAAACTAATGGAATTAGTTGGTGTTTCTAAAAAATGGTTAACTATTTTCACTGGGGACCTATATTCTATGTATGTGTTTCTGCAAGGAATTTGGTCTCTTCCATGTAAAAGTAGAAGGGTATATCTATATATATATATATATATCATATACGTAATTCCCTTTGGGGAGTAGCACCCCTGGATGTCTGAAGTTCCTAAACTAGAACGTTTCAACAAGAAACAGGTCCTCCAAAATGATCAATTTCTTTTCATATTGTTTTAAAAAATTAGTTTTTCAAGCTCACCGAGGGGTACCCCCTCACGGTATGTAGTTTTGCAAGGAATAGGGTCCCCTTCATGTATAATTATTAAATACGTAATTCCTTTTGGGTAGCAGCAATCCTGGATATCTGAAGTTCCTAAACTGGAACGTTTCAACAAAAAAACAGGTCCCCCGAAATGATCAATTTCTTTTTATATTGTATTAAAAAAATGAGTTTTTCAAGCTCACCAAAGGGTACCCCCCACGAACGGTGTCGGAGAACTATGAAAAAAACTAGTTTGCAATGAAAACTAATGGAATTAGTTGGTGTTCCTAAAAAATGGTTAACTATTTTCACTGGGGACCTATATTCTATGTATGTGTTTCTGCAAGGGATTTGGTCTCTTCCATGTAAAAGTAGAAGGGTATATATATATATCTATATATATATATCATATACGTAATTCCCTTTGGGGAGTAGCACCCCTGGATGTCTGAAGTTCCTAAACTAGAACGTTTCAACAAGAAACAGGTCCTCCGACATGATCAATTTCTTTTCATATTGTTTTTAAAAAATGAGTTTTTCAAGCTCACCGAGGGGTACCCCCCACGACCGGCGTCGTAGAACTATGGAAAAAAAAAAAATTGCAATGTAAACCAATGGAATTAGGTGGCATTCTGAAAAAAATGATGAATATTTTCACTGGGGATCTATATTCTATGTATGTAGTTTTGCAAGGAATAGGGTCCCCTTCATGTATAATTATTAAATACGTAATGCCTTTTGGGTAGCAGCAATCCTGGATATCTGAAGTTCCTAAACTGGAACGTTTCAACAAAAAAACAGGTCCCCCGAAATGATCAATTTCTTTTTATATTGTATTAAAAAAATGAGTTTTTCAAGCTCACCAAAGGGCACCCCCCACGAACGGAGTAGGAGAACTATGAAAAAAAACTAGTTTGCAATGAAAACTACTGGAATTAGTTGGTGTTCCTAAAAAATGGTTAACTATTTTCACTGGGGACCTATATTCTATGTATGTGTTTCTGCAAGGAATTTGGTCTCTTCCATGTAAAAGTAGAAGGGTATATCTATATATATATATAGTCATCCTGGAGTAGATAGAATCTCTGGAATTTCAAAAAAAAAAACGGTCCGGAAAAAACCTATAGATAGAATCCCAAAATGGCTCAAAAATCCGGGTCGATGATTGGTAAAAAAAACGGTCCCTCTAAAATGATCACAAAAGCGGTCATTTAGCTTGTGATTTGGTTGTTTGGGCCTTTGGAATGACCACCAAATGTTGTCATTATGCTGGTGTATTAGGTTCTGGCATGCGAATTTCAGCCCAAAATCTTCCAAAGAAATTGTCACTGTTGCTGGTGGTTCCCAGAAATATAGATCCTTTGGCAATGGTATTTAATAGTTAAACCCAATAAAGGAATGGGTGTGGGTCAAATTACCACCCACAAAAATTGAAACAAGGAAAACACGTCAAAACAGCCATGTGCAAGCCATTATACTTGAATAAGGCATACCAGTGCTAGGAAAGCTGTGCAAAAGAAGGAATCCCAGTTCTTACCATTCAAAGTTCAGTCTTGCAGGTGTTTGAATAGAAAGCTGTGAAAGGAAAAGGAGATGAGAAAAGTATAGAAAAGTAGGAATCCAAGATCGACCA